TATGTGTGTGTGTGTGTGTGTGTGTTATATATATATATATATATATATATATAGGGCAATGATTTCATGCATTGTATCATAGTATAATGCAACAACACGTCTAGAAAACCATGTTTGTGGTATGTATGACCCAAAATTTAGCTCACACACTCTCTTCATCACAATAATCAATCCCAAAAAAAAAAAAGTTCTTCAATTTGAACTCTAAATATGGTCAAAATGAGTCCCCCTCCAAAAACGAATTTAGACCATTCATTTGGTGAATTTCAAGATCTTAAGCCTTTATAAACTCAAAATCATTTTTTTTCTTTTTTCACATTGTTCATCTAATGGTAATAAAGCCATCCAAAAAAATTAGAAATGAAAAAATTCTTCTAAGGCCTAGATCTAAGCATCTCACCAAAATGAACGGCCTATGTTAATCAGGCTGAAAAATACTTTCTAGGTTGTGTTTTCAAATTTTTCTTTTTGTGAATTGTGATTGTTCATTAGAATGAAAAGAGTGTATATGTCAAAATTTGGATCAAACAAATGGCCATAATATGGTTTTTGAAGGTTGTTGCGTCATATTACTATACAACTGTTGCATGAAATCATTGCCCATATATATATATATATATGTGTGTGTGTGTGTGTGTGTGCACAATTATACAATAATCAAGAGCACAATACTTACATAAACGTTTTTGAACAATTTCTATTGGCACTTTATTTTAGCAGTCCTCTTCCTCACTGGACTTTGCACTATCAAAACTTTGTAGGGATTTGAAATTGGGTTTAGATGGAGAGAGCAAAGAGTAGAAAAAGAGAGGATGACGGGGAGTATAGAGAGAGAGAGAATGACTGATAGTAGGGAGGATGAGGAAATAGAGAGAAGTGAGGAGGAATAGAGAGAATTTTATTTCTTTTTGTGGAGTTTTGAAAGGATGGTACATGGATTTATAAATTTGGAAAACATTTGGGTCACGCACCTTTTCATATTTTTGAAGCCACATACCTTTCTAAGGGGTAGTTTTTTTTGGAAGGGGGCACCCACCTTTCAAAGATCACTTTTTTTTAAAAGTCACATGCCCTAAGTCCTCTTTAGGCATAGAGGCCCTTCTTATTTTTTGCGACACGTGTCCACCCTTTAACTATGACTTAATAATGTGGTGTGTGTGTGTGCGCTTATTAGACTGCACAAAAAGGCTACTCCTTACATTTTCCTCTAGAGCTTTTTCTATTATTATTCTATTTTATCAAGTGGCTTTCAAAATTTTTATGTTTTTTGAAAGTTCATTTCATTTTTTTGTGTGATATGTAATATATGTTATACAAAACCTAAACAAGCCAGAAAAAGAAAAAGAAAAGCTGAAATGACGATCATGATGATGATGAATACTTCGAATTCGTCTATGACATAATTACAAACTTGTAGGGAGGGAGGGAGTTTTTTTTTTTTTAATTGGATGAGAGAGAGAGAGAGAGAGTTTTCATGTAGTTATCCATATGCTTATCGCATTTATAGTATTCAATGATGGAAGCGAGTACCATGTAGATATGTACACCGAGTCATTTGGGAGGTGTCAAGGGTTGACAAATATGTAGGCCGAGCTGAACCTATGTCTTCATTTTTTCAACTATGGTTTATGCCAACTGTGTTGTTGTATTGTGCAATATGACGATGATGGGGTTAAAGGATGTGGGAAATACATGATGTTTGAGCGGATAAGTGATTACGTTTTGGTTGCACATGGGGAAACTGAACTAATTATATTTGGTAAAGCAGCTCGTGGAGTAATGTGGCTTATGGAGTTGGGAGTGTTTATTGATAGAAAGAATCCTAAGGTCCTCTAGTTGGGAGTAATTTTGTTGAAGGTTAATTAGTAGGGTAATGGTTTGAAGTTTAATTATTAAATGGGATGGTTTGATATGTTGGGGTTTAGAAGAATATGATTAGAAGGAAGTGAGGGACAGACAGGATTTTGGCGTGAGGAAAGGGGCCACATGGGGGATGTAATCAGTGGCAAGGACTGATTTGTTAGGTAATTGGAAATATATTTGAAATGATCTGGGTTACTATTTTGTAAGTAGGAGGGACTCAAGATGTGAGGAACAAGAAAGGTTTGGTGCATAAAAATCTGGAGGAGGTCAAGTTTGTATTTAGGTGGGAATCATGGGAGGTTGCACAAATTTTTGAGGTAAGAGCGTGATTGCTGTTTGGCTACTTGGTGGGGTGCTTGGTAGAAAATTGAAATTGGGTTATTTTGGGCATGAAGTGATGAAAGCAAGGTTACTTATTATTAACAACAAAAGGATGATGGCAAATGAGGGGCATTGGGAGGTGTTTCCAAGGTCATGGTATCTTTTAGGTTAGTCGTTGGGTGGTGCTATAGGGGAAATGGGTTGATCAAATAAGGGCAAATTCTGGGATATATTTAATTTCCTATCGGAAAAATGTTGACAGAATGCATCTATGATAGGTCATTGGGTTGTAAGGAAAATGGATGGATCTTTAGGGATGAGTGGGTCCTTTTGGGGGCTCAATGGAAGCATTTGTAGGGTAATTGGGTGGACGGACAGTTCAGGAAATTTTTGTGGTATGAGGGCCACTTTTGTTAGACCAGTGGGACTTGTTACGAGGGATATGAGAGGGTTGTGAATGGTGAAAATTGGTGTGTGTATGAGGGGTATTTGCTTTTGGTTCACTGAGTGAGCTTGGGTGGTAAATCCCCATTGCTCTTCATTTCTGTGCTCTTTAACTAAAGTGCAACTTGATGATTACATGTCCCCATTTTAACTATTAAAGAAAATATATATCTCCTGTTTTTTGGATGTACCATCTAGTCTCGTGTTCTCAAACTAGATCTTCCACCTGGATGCCCATCAAATCCTTTTGTTTAGGAACCATGAGATGGTAATCATTGTTTTATGTTCTTTTATAGCCATCTCCTCCTGCCATACATTTATGCTGTCAAGGATTTGTGTGTCCAATATTACTAGGTCCCTCTGTCTTGTAGCAGTTTTCAGTAATCGTGTACCCTATGTAATTCTATCGCATGTCACTTGCATTCTAAATTTTCATTTATTTTGATAATGAACAAATTTAATTAGCAAAAATACAAAGAAATACTGTTTGACAATTTCAAGAATAAAGGACATCCTAAACTTAGTGAGTAATATTTTTGTGCGCTTGTTGCCATTTTTGTGCAGTCTTTCCATATTCTATTTTTGTTTTCTGCTTTCTTCTGTATAATTTATGTAAATGCCATCAGAGGCAACACTACTAGTAATATTCCATAAAATCAATGAAAATGAGAAGAAGTTAACAATGGTTAAAACCATTTTCCGGCTCTCTTTAAGTACACTTGTACTGTCTATTGATTGGAAAGATACCCAATGCTCCAATTGACAAAGGTTTTTGTTTGTGTAGGATGCACAAACTTTGCATGGACTTTGACAAAGGCGCTACTCTGGAATCATTTATGCCGTCTTCTCATTTGGGAAATGAATCAAATGGTTTCCTTTTAAAACACTTAGGTGTACCAAATAACATGATGAAATCTGTGTCCATTGGAAAACTGCAACATGGACTTGAGAAAGGCAATGCTTCAAACACTGATGTTCCATGCACTCCAACTCTTGAGAATCCTCTAAGTATCAATACGCTGAATTCAGCACGAGAAGAGATTTTTTTGCAAGAACTGAAAAAATTTATTCTAGAAAGAAATGGGGTTTTAGGAGAAGGTTGGCATATTGAGTTCAAACCATTCAGCGATAATGAAGTCTATGCTGTCTTTTGTGCTCCAGATGGTCACAAGTTTCAGTCAATGTTTGATGTTGCTCATTATATTGGAGTTTTGGACAGCAATTCTCATCTGGATGCTATAGAAAGGCTTGAAAACTCAACTTCGGGCCAGAAGGGTTTACCTTTGCGGAGAAAGAGAAAGGCATTGGCTAGACTGAAGTATGCTGATCAAGATTCATCCAGAAGTAAATATTTGATGGAGAATGAGGAAGCTGGAATGAGGGAGACTGTAGAAGTTCCATCTGATATTGATACAGATCCCAGTGCTTATAATTTAAAGTGTGATGATCGAACTTCAGAGGGTATGGCGGAGAAGTGTGATGATCGAAGAACTTCAGAGGGTGTGGTGGAGGAGTGTGGCTCACTTGGAAGTTCTCATCATCTCAATGTAAGTATTGGTCTGGTTGTCTGTCTATTGTCTTCGTAACATTTGCCTGCTTAATATTCATTTTTCTTCTGTTTATGTATTGGAATTCTGCTTTGGTATTGGCTTCATGCTTAGCAAAAGATCCACGTTGGCTTCGTGCCTTAATATATCCTTCAGCATATGTACACATTTTGTTCTTTGGGCTGATAATTCTTTACTGCATTTTAAGGTTGATTTCCCAGTGCAATATGGAGATTTCTTTCTTCATTCTCTGGGGGGCATTGATGCTCGACCGTCATATCACAATGCTACTCAAATTTGGCCTGCTGGTTATAAGTCTAGCTGGCATGACAGAATAACTGGGTCACTATTTACCTGTGAGGTGTCTGATGGGGGTGATACTGGACCAGTGTTCAAGGTCAGAAGATGTCCTTGCTGTAAAACTTCTATGCCAATTGGGTCAAGCATCCTTGTGCATGCAAAAGCTGACCTTGATATTGCAAATGACCAAGGGAAATTAGAAAGTGAACACCCTACTGTCGAGGGGGAATGCGACATGGATGATGATCTTCACATGCTTCTCTCAGATCCGAGTGATTCAGTTTCTTCCTGTTTATATCCCCTTCAGGACCATGATTTTTGTGCTCCTCTGCGCTTGCAAGAAGCCTGCCTTGATACACGTGGAGAGAGAACTTTGTCATCACCCCAAGTTAAAAATGATTTGAGGGATGAAATTGGTGAATTTTTTGTTGAAGGGAGAACATCATCTTCAGTATGGAACTTGGTGTGTCAGACCCTTATTGATGCATGCTATGAAGCTCTCAGGCATAAAGGTTCCCTGCAGCTTTTTTGCTGTCATGACACTGGAGAGGTATCCCCATCATATTCCCCAACTACAGGCAGTCAGGGTATGTTAAGCAAATTTTGCAGTGATAGAGGTCCTTTGAAGATCCCATGCGTCTTCAATAGCGAACAAGATCTAGAGGATGCATGCATTGAACTTGTGAAATGGCTTGATCGAGATAGATTTGGACTTGATGTTGAATTTGTGCAGGAATACATAGAACGCCTTCCTGGTGCCCTTGATTGTTTTAAGTATGAACCTCTTTCCACAAGGAGCAACTACTCAACATCTCAAACCGTCGGAAGTGGTTTTCTTCTTGTGAAACGGAAGAGGGAGCTTTTATGTGATGGGGGGGAACCCTTGGTTGATGTACCTCTGGAGCTAAAAAAATCTAGGAAGAATCAGTCCGCTGAAGACCTTGAAATTGATGAACACAGTCCTCCACCCGGTAGACCTTTGAGTACCAAGCTTCCTCCAGAGTTGGTTGGTGATGTTTTTCAGGTATGTGCATATCTAGAAAATACTGTTTTTTATTCTATAAAACAAAAAAGAGTATAGTTGCTTTCATTGTATTTTGAAAGGAGGTAGTATACCATAATACAAAAAACAATGGAAAAACCATATTCCGTTGGGCCATAAGCATTCATTGAAACGGTGGACCGTTATGGAGAATGTGGGACCGAGTATCGGGGCATGTCTTGTTCTGGTTGGATCCCACTCTTTCATTGTCACCATCAATTATTGTGATGGATAATGGAGACTTGCCATAGTCCATTGGATTATAGAATACTTTTCCTCGAAAGTATTGGTTTCATTTCTTGACCATATCTTTGACTCTGCCTTACAAATTTAGGTCTGGGAACTATTAGTGCGTTTCTATGATATTTTGGGTTTGAAAGAGCCGCTTTCCTTTGAAGAACTTGAGGAGGAGCTTATAGATCCATGGTTTGAGGATACCAATATCTTGGAAAAATTCGAAAAGGAGCTTCAGGAATCCAGAGACTCATCTGAGCAGAGTGGAAGTGAAAACCTGGGCCACCCTCCCCTTTCTTCCGTTTCAAATTTTAGATCAGAAGATCCGCATGCATTTATTCTCCTGGAATCAGGAGCCATGAAGGAGGCTTCTCTGGCTAAAGTGGCGTCACGCACATATGGCAGGTGCACTGGTGTAGCTTTGACAAGGGCTCATGTGTCACTGTTGAAGGTCCTTATTGGTGAGTTGCAGTCTAAACTTTCAGCCATTGTGGATCCAAATTCTGATGCTGGAGAAATGAAGTCTAAACGAGGAAGGAAAAGAGATTTGGATAACTCTATGACTGTGAAAAAAGCAAGGATGGATTTGTTGCCCATTAATGAGCTAACATGGCCAGAGTTGGCTCATAGATACATTTTAGCTGTTTCAGCTATGGATAGCAGCCATGATTCTGGGGAGATTTCTATTCGTGAGGCTGTGAAGCTTTTGCGCTGCTTGCAAGGAGATGGAGGAGTACTCTGTGGTTCCCTTTCTGGAGTGGCCGGCATGGAAGCGGATGCCTTGGTAGGATGAGATCCCTACTTTTTCTGTCTTTTGCCATTCAATATAGAATTACATTTTCTACTGAGAATTAGATTTTATTCTGAGAATGATTTGCGATGTATGATCTGCATTGCCTTGATTGCTTTGTTGTTTTTATAGAACTTCACACAGTATGAAAATGACATTTCATTTTTCTGTTCTTTTAGAATAATGAAATTATTCTGGACTTCAGTAATGGTGCACTCATGGAAGTTAAAAACTGTTTCACGAATGCATTGGTCATGAAAGAATACGAAACTAAACTGGCACTAAAAAATGAAAACTTTTCTGTAAACCCAGAGGAGGACTCGAATTACTTATTATGCATAGCACTTATGTACCTGCAGGATCTCCTCTCTCTCTCTCTCTCTCTCTCTATATATATATATATATATATATATATATGTTTGCTGCAATGGTTGGTGTTCACTCCTGTGGTTGCTGCTGCTTGGTGCAGTTGGTAGCATTGTTACCTCCCTGGAGCAGAATCATCACCTCTCTTAGTATGTGTACACATGCGTGTGTGCATGTGTGACATGCGAATGCTTCACCTCCTATCTGTATTGGAAACAAGTTTCATGTAAAATCCTCTCTGCATTAAGTAGCGATAGGGCTCAAATTGCTAGTAGTTAGAGCAAGTGGTAGATTTACAATGCCTTTAGGCATCTTGTATATCAGCTTATTTCTTCTGTAGTTCCTTCTTTTGAGTTAAAGATTTGGGGTATAGTTGGTTCTTCATTTGGTTTTGGTATTATTGAGTTCTTAGCTTTGAAGCTCTCATATAAAAGTAAAATTTACTGATCTAGAACTCCTATTTCTTAGGAAATTTGATTCGTAGCTCCTTCTGGTAAGGAAGGACATTGTATATGGGTTGTTATTGACATCTGAGTTCAACATGTCACTTTGATTGGTTGCACATACTATCCTATGGTTATGCAGTGTCTATTTTTATGTAATAATTTATTTTCTGAGGTCTCATTTTACTCATTGATGTCTATTAACCTTAAAGCAAGTGACATGCAGAGAGATTGTTTTCTGTAGTGTAGGAATTTTCTTTTTAAAACATCTTTTGTAATATTACCCGAATTTACACTCATTTCTTGACAATGGACTTTTGATTAACTCTATTTACAAAATTGACGGTTGGGTTACCCTAATTGATGTGATTCTCAGCTGCTTGCAGAGGCTGAAAAACAAATTTCTGGCTCAATTAGGAGAGAAAATGATGCTGATTTTATTGATTATCATGTGATGGATGTGGATACTGCTGGGGAGAAGTCAGTGGCAAGTGGGACAGACATCCCTGAGTGGGCAAAAATGCTTGAGCCTGTGAGAAAACTTCCGACCAATGTGGGAACCAGGATTAGAAAGTGTGTCTATGATGCTCTGGAGAAAGAACCCCCTCAGTGGGCGAGAGGAATTTTGGAGCACTCCATAAGCAAAGATGTTTACAAGGGTAATGCATCTGGCCCAACCAAGGTAATCTGTTATACCCTGTTTCATGTTGTAGTTGTAGGCTTTTGGTGAAAGTCATTGTCAGATGCAGAAACATGTTGCGAAGAAAATATATATATATATATATATGGATATAGGGTATTTGTTATCCATAATCATGCTAGTATAGATAACCACACACCTCTGTTTCTGGAGTTTTATGTTTTATATGGAGAGGCATAGCTCTCTGTAGCATCACGAGTTGGACTTGATGGTTGACCTTGAAGAAATGCAGATGGAAATATAGCACTTTCTTCTAGTTCGGATGATTATACGTTCGCAATGTTTCTGATTGTGTGTGTCCGTATAGATGCACATGCACGCAGATGTATGTGGGTATCTGCTATTATGGTTATAATATCAGAAAATGTTTTTGAACTTAACATAAGATCTCTCCTGTTTTGAAATACAAATTTTATACTAAACTGCAGATACACAGACATACATACATCTACAAGTTACTACATGAGCTGTATGCACATGCTCATTTCTGTAAATGCATGCTAGCTGCATGCTTGTTCGTCCTACCCTCATACTTGTACACATCCCCTAATCCTTGCTTTGAAAATCGATCTCGTTAAGGTTGCTGGCCCCTTTGAAACTGGTCTTGCCCCCTTCATTACATTGTTGCTGCCATTCAACTTGTTGTGAAATACTGGATGGTGTAGCAACAAAATTTCAAACAGGTCATTGCCCCTCTCTTCCCAGCTCAATATCCAAAAGTCTGACAGTGATTTGAAACAGATCTTGGTAATGCTTGCTGTATCAAATATATCTTGGAAGGTGATTCCTATTCCCCCGAGATCGGGAATCAATCTAGTCTGGTCATCCATGTGTGTTATGCCCCACTTTAGTCATGATAGTTACGTTTGAGCTTCTTCCCCCAATTCATTGCAGTCCTTTATATGTGTTCTCACGTAGTTTGATGATGTCCTCTTCTAGTCCTTCCATATGGTCCATAGTCATCTGTAAAGGAGTAAGGGCCATAGTTACCGGAATCTCTCCACCAACCTTGCGTTTCCAGTTTCGAAACCCGATTCTGCGTTTCTGTTAAGGAATCTCCCCAGAAACCGTTTTTCGTAACCAAGGAAACTTGATTCCTTAATTTCGGAATTTCAATTTGACACATCTTTAGAAACCTTTTTTCGGAAACAAGGAAACTCAATTCCTTAATTTCGGAATCTCGATTCAACACATCTTTAGAAACTATTTATCGGAACCAAGAAAACTCGATTCCTTAATTTCAGAATATCGATCCAACACATCTTTAAAAACTTGAACCCATTCATTGTGGGTAGACGTTTCCAAATATATCGAAGATTCTAGTGAGGATTAAGTCTTGATTCCATGTCAATTGGAGTAGAAATCTTCCTTCGAATGCTTCTAGTGGTTGCAGGTTTTCATTATTTTACTTGTGCTACCTTGGATCTCCTTTACTTTAAATTTAAAATATAATTGGTAAATTGTAACACATACAATTAAAAGTAAAACCATGGCGTAGGCATAATCCTATTTTGTCTTTATAATAATGAAGTTAAAATCACAATTTAGAAATACTTGTCTTTTGTTCTGTAGTCCATATTCTTGTAAATCTCGATCTCAAACTGGCATGGATCTTTGATTTATGTACTTTAAAAACTTGATTCCAAATATGTTAGAATCACGATTCGAAACAACAACGTATCTATGTTCCACATATGTCAGAAACTCGATTCCATAGATGTTAGAAACTCGATTCCATATGTTAGAATCACGATTCAAACTAGACTTTCTATTTATTTGAACCCCCTTCCTTTTGCTCCTCTACTGTTCGAGAGCTTTTACCCATGGGATTTAATCTACTCTCTAGCATTCAGAGGGTGCCTAGTGCCACCTATAACCCGATCTCTTTGTTTCTGTTGAATTCCTGAAAATCTTATCATTCTCCAGATACTTCATATCTATGAACATGCCTGGTGATCTATCATGCAGCACTTTCTCCTTTCTAGAGTATTGAAGCTCATGTTCTTCGCATGCCAGCTTCTTTGGACTTTGAACCAATTACATTACAAGAAAGCTCACGGATGTGGGCAGGACATGCTCTACTATTACGATTTCCTTGTTGCTCCACTGTCTCTATTGCTAAACTTGTATATATTGAAATTGCATGTGACATATGTGTTCCTGTGTTGTGTTCATGAATGAATTTGTGTTAAAAGTTATATTCTTTGTTGCATGATTATTATATAAATATTCTGGATGAATTATGTTTTCGGAGTTATGGTGAAATCACTGTGTTTCCTTTTTTCTTTTTTCTTTTCTAATTTGTCTTAAATTGATGAATGCTTGTATACTTCTAGAGAAGAAAATTTGCTTTGACAATCTGCCTAATTGATTCTTCACTCTGTGGTACCTTTAGGGGTCCTGCTCCTCCCTCTCTGATTGTCTTGGGAGCCATTGAGGTCACCTCTAAATTCAGTCTGATCCTTCTCACCTGTTACCTTCTCGAACTGGATATGTGTTTGTCATGGAGTTGTTATCAAGATACTGTTTTTGTCCTTTTTACTTTTAGCTTTTATTTTTTAAATTTGTTTTAGTTTTTTGCTGGAAGGGGTCTACTCATGCTTTACGGATATCAGTATCTGCACTGCTACAAACTGTGCTGCTTATTTTTTTCTCTCTTAGCTGTTCGCGGAAATAGTTATTTGGCATTATCATATGGCTGGTAAATCGGTCAAATGGGAAAACTGTGGTAGGGCTGTATGCTATAGTTTTCAATTTTCATGAGTTGATGAGTTGCAGGTGTTGAACTAGAAGTTGCAGTGAAGAACCT